GTAATTATACTGTTCATTAAACCAAGGTCTTAATCAACTGCATTAGACATTCTTTCGCGCATTACCTTGTGAACCAATACTTCGTTTAGAGATTTGATAGTCTTCAAATACAACTAGTAAACCAGTCTATTAATGGACTGTGAAAAATTGGAGTGGGGAATTAGGTAAGAATTACGTATATTTAGATGATAGATTAAAGAGTGTGCTTGTAAAACATATAAAATAAGAATGGTCGGTTCGGTCATTGTTTACATTTAGTGTCAGCATCTGTTAAACTTGTCAAATATAATCAATGAATGTTCTGTTCTACTCAATCATATTCATGCCAAACACAATTAAATGCTGAGAGCTTGAGACCCAAAGTAACCAATATCACAAGGTAATACGTTAATACTGATTACTTGGAACACAGACACACCAAACGCCACAGAATAAAGCCTGCAAGTACCTAGAATAAAGTGAGAACGAACAACAAGTCGTTATATTTCTATTCTTATTTTTAATTGTTAATAGTGATTATATGTGGGTAAGAGATCTTTTTGCATCCTGACTCATTGCTAGTTTGAAGTTTTGTAAAAATGGAACCAAACTAAGTAGCATAACAGACTATAAATCAATTTGTTTCAATCTAAATCAAAGGAGAATGTATTCTGGGCTGCATCAAGATAAACTTCACAGTAATGTCGAATGACTGCAGAGCAACAGGAATCCGCCTTAGTTTTCAAATGAGATCGACCTACAAATTTCGTTATTAGGCACTCTCACACGAAATGATTATTATTACAGGAGATTAAGCAAAACCAGGTTACAACTCGTTGAAAAAAATGTTGTGCATATTTTCATGGTTTGGCGTGCATGTATACATCCACCAGAATAAAAGAAAAACCAATAACCTGTTTTGAAGATGTGTGGAAGTCAAGGGCCGGACCTAACAAACCTGATACAGCTCAGCTTCACAAGATGGAAATAATCACCCTACGAAAGACTGCCATGTTGAAACAAACGAAGTGAAATACGCAAATAAGCAAGTATTAAGTTTCAGTTTGGAATAATTGCACAAGAATTCCAACACAATGGAGTTTCTTTTTGATAATTATGATGCAAATCTTTATAAAAGAAATCATTTTCCTGGTGCTAAAGTCAATTTAAAACAACACTAACTTACAAGTTCTCAGTAACCTCAACAGAAGTTAAAGCACTATATGATCAAATTTAATTGTAGCTCCTGATAATCCTTGAGCAGAGGACGAAGGAGTATGAATAAGGGATATGTGTTAGCTAACATTCCAAAGAATATATGTCAACGACAAGTGGATGACAAAGTGATGCGAATATAAAACGCAGAGATTCCTTTAAAGTTGTAATAGATAGGCTTTGGCCCCTAATTGACGATTCCATACTGAGCGCTAGTTACACAGGAGAAAGTCATATTAAATTGTAAACAGGATAGCCAAAGAAACTTAACAAAAGATTTAACTCATAAATAATGACAGGGTACAATAATGCTATCACCTCGTGACCACAAGTTCGCACTTAAATTGTTCACTTTATTTACTATACCGACTGATAATAATTAGGCTCCTTTTTGCCACGTATTTCATATCGTTAAAAGCCTGTAACTCAATGGCTTATCATATTATCATTGAAAAATT